TCTCCCCCCTTCCCCCCCGCCCATTGACCCTCTTCACACACCCCCATACCTACCACACTATTGTTTGTGTCCATGGATTATGCATATATGCATATAAGTTATTTGGTTAATTTCTTCCCATGCCACCACCCACCCCCTTTCCCGCTGAGATTTGACAGTCTGTTCCATGCTTCCATGTCTCTGGACCTATTTTGTTCATCAGGTTATTTTGTTCATTAGATTCCACATATAACGAGATCATGTGGTATTTGTCCTTCTCTGACTGGCTTACCAGTACTGTACAGTTTTGATTACTTTGTTAAAGTTGGAAATCAGGAATTGTGATGCCTCTAACTTTGTTATTCTTTCTCAAAATTGCTTAGTCTATCTGGACTCTTGTATTTCCCTATAAATTTTAGAATTGTTTTTTCTATTTCTGTGAAAAATGCCTTTGGCATCTTGATAGGGATTACATCGACTCTGTAGCTCACTTTGGGTAGTATGGGCATTTTAACATTAATTCTTCCAATCCATGAACACAGGATGTCTTTTCATTTACCTGTATCTTCAGTTTCCTTCATCAATGTCTTGCCCATTGCACTTAATCTTCACAATGAGGTTGATATTGACAAATGGGGAAACTGAGGCTCACACAGCTTGTAAGAAGTGGAATCAAGATTCAAGCCTCAGACCCCTGTTGTTCCTTCCACTAGACCAGTGGTTCTCAACCTTCTGGCCCTTTAAATACAGTTCCTCGTGCTGTGACACAACCATAAAATTATTTTCGTTGCTACTTCATAACTGTAATGTTGCTACTGTTATGAATCGTAATGTAAATATCTGATATGCAGGATGGTCTTAGGCGACCCCTGTGAAAGGGTCGTTCGACCGCCAAAGGGGTCTCGACCCACAGGTTGAGAACCGCTGCACTAGACTGAGCTGTGCAGGCCTGCCGGGCAGTGCACCATGTGTCCTGCTGGCCGGGCACGGCACCACCTCCAGAAGCAGGGGGATGGCCCACCTGTCCTTTCTGCCTTACAGATGGACGACGAGGATTCCATCCTGCCACGGAAGCTTCAGGTGGCCCTGGAACACATTCTGGAGCAGAGAAATGACCTGGCCAGTGACCAGGATGAAGGGCCCCCTGACTGCAAGCACGGTAAGTGTTCAGCCCCTCCAGACTGCATCTCCCTCCATCGTTAGTCAGGGAGCAAATGGGCAATGGCCAAGCACTCCACTTGACATTGAGTTAAGTAAGAAAATAGGCAAGAGAGGGATGCAAGGAGAAAAACTGGGTGCTCAAACTTCTCATCTGGATCTCATTTTAACAATGAACTGGGAAAAGTTCTCTCACTTCCCCCATTTGGCCCTAAAATATCTGTTTAAAGGAGGGAAAGAGCCCTGACCAAGAGTATGTACCTGGGTTGCAGGTTTAATTCCGGGCCCCTGTCAGGGTGCGTGCGGGAGGCAATCAATCACATCGATGTTTCTCTCTCTCTCTCTCTCTCTCTCTCTCTCTCTCTCTCTCTCTCTTCACTCTACCTAAAAAAAAAAAATCTATGGAAAATATATGCTCTGGTGAGGATTAACAACAACAAAAAATAAGGAAAATAAAAATAATAAAAGGGAGGGAAAGAAATAATTTAATACCTTTGGGTAACCTTTTTATGGATCAGTAGGATTTTTCCTCGAGAGAACTAGAAGTTGCTTGTATTACCAGTTGGCTTGTCTCAGAGGCTCTGACCCTCACCCGCTGGCCCTTCCTCTTGCTCAGGCCCCGAGTCCAGCCCCTTGAACCAGGTGGTGTCTGAAGCCTTTGTCCGCTTCTTCGTGGAGATCGTGGGCCATTACTCCTTGTTCCTGACGGTGGGCGACCGTGAGGAGAGGACCCTGCAGCGAGAGGCCTTCCGCAAAGCCGTCTCCTCCAAGAGCCTGCGCCGCTTCCTGGAGGTTTTCATGGAGACCCAGATGTTCCGGGGCTTCATCCAGGAGCGAGAGCTGCGTCGACAGGATGCCAAAGGTCAGAGGGCATCTTCCCTGCATCTTCCCTGAGACAGATGGAGGTGCCCGGGCAGACGGGAGCAGCTCTCAGCCACCTCTGGAGAATGTTCACTTTTGCACGTCTGAGCTTCTGAATCTACCCTGACACCTGTCTCCTCAGACAGCTCTTCCCCCCACTAGCCTGTCCCAGAGCACTTTCCGGGTTCTGGTGACAGTTCTCCATTTGTTCCATTCTTTCCAACTCGAGGAAACTCTCGTGGACACCCTTCCTTCCTCTCTCTCTGTGGTTCCTTTGTCCTTTCCCACAGGCCTCCTCTCGTCCCTTCTGCCCCCTTTTCCTGCCCCTTTCCACCGTGGAGCAGGCAGGAGCCACCTGGGATGGGATAGAGGAGAGAATGGCCCACAGCCTCTGCTGAGCCTGCCTGGCTGGGAGCTTGTGGGTCATCCATTCTCCTCCCTCACTCTCTCTCTTCTTGGAGTTCATCTCTCCTACCTTCTCCTTGTCCCTGTCAGCTGGGTTCCATCACACTTCCTGGGCTGGAGGAGGGGGAGGGGGAGGGGTGAGAAAAGAGGATAACCGGTGACTGGGATTCCTGTCTCTTTCTTATGTCATCTTAAGCCCTTTTGGGGATCTGACAACTGGAAATGTTGGGAAAGGCTGTCACAGATGGGAGTTAGACCTGAGTAGGGGCGAGGTGCTCACCACCGAGGAGTGGCCGAGCAGCAGCCAGGGAGGGTCCCAGGGGAGCTGCTGGCCCACGCCTCGGTGTCCTCTGGTGCTGTGATGGCACAGACTGAGTTAAGGAACGAAACCATTCCCAGAGCTCCTTGCAAAGTAAAGACAGAGGCTGCCACACTTCCGGCAGTCTGATGAGTGGTATCTGAAGAGACAAAAAGTTGATCTGATGAAGGGACCTGTTAAAGAGAAGGCCTGCTGGGTACACATACTGGTAGGTACCTGTTCACAGACCATGATTTGATAGAGAGGTCCAGACGGCAAAGCTTAAAAGCAGTACGGAAGGAGCCCACTGTCCACGAGGACCAGAGAGAAATGAAGACAGTACCTGAGGCTCAGATCCGGCTGAGCACTGAGGGCCCTGAGAGGTGGCCTGCCCAGCCTTCCTGAGGTCACAGGTGGCAAACAGATTCATTCCCAGGAGGCCACACCACGTGGCCAGGGACCCTCTTAATGGGAGAACACGAGGAAAAGGGAAACTCCAGGAGTTCCTGAGAGCCATGACCATCTGGTTCATCTTGAAACCGTGTGCCTGGCACAGTGGAGACACTTGGAAGGTGTTTGTTGAGTAAAAATAGGATTTCGTGTGGGAGCTGGCTTTACAGCTTTCCAAAGACAGTTATTGCACAAAGTTGGGCAATTATAGGGGTCATAAAAACTCTTATAAACCTATGATTCAGAGCATGTTTATAGGAGCAGCTCATCTCAGAAGCAAGTTCCTCTTTTCTGTGGCAGTAAAGAAACGGGTATGGTTAGAAGTGCCCAGAGAGGGAACTATACTGACTGGGGTATCTCTTGTCAACAGGTCTGTTTGAGGTCCGAGCCCAGGAGTACCTGGAGACACTCCCCAGTGGAGAGCACAGTGGTGTCAACAAGTTCCTGAAGGGACTAGGTAAGGCCAAGGGTCTCGGTCCCCATCACCCGCCTCTGGTCCGTGGCTCCTGGCCAGTTCCTCCACTGGAGCCGGCTCCGAAATAACACAGAGCTCCCTGGCCTGTGCTGGGCAGGCTAAGTCGGCATTGTAGCCTCCTGTTCCAGTCTGACTCCAAAGTATAAACAGAGGACACAGAGGCCCCTCCCTGCTCTCCTGGCTCCTGGGCTGTCTCACTACCTTCGGTCACTGTCATCTCCCTCACTCCTGAGTCTTCTGGGCACTGAGCTTAGGAAGCAGGGTGAGCGGAAGCAGGCAGGGTGTCTGGCAGCACAGAGCTGGCCCAGCCTCCCAGTGCCCTGCGAAGTGGAAATGTAAAAGTGAGAGGACTCCGGCTCACTCAGGAACAAGGCCCTGCTGGGAAAAGGATGAAGAGGAAATCACCAAAGAGGAAGGAGGCCCTGGCTGGGTGGTTGGAGCGTCGTCCCGATAGCCACAAAAGAGGAACAGGGCGCAGGCCCCAGTGAGGAGGAGCTGTGCGGTGAGGACCACACGGGCACCTGTGGCGGGGCCTGCTTGTCCCTCACAGGGTGGACAGATGGCCACTTGGGGAGGGACTTCCCACTCACCGCACTGCTGGGAGTTTCCTCACGTGGCTCCTCGGGGACCCGTTACGTTCAGAGATTCCAACTTACCATTTCAGAAGCAGTGTCTGCAGCTCTTCCTTGAGTCCGAGGAAGATCCCTTTTCCTTGGGGAGGTGCAGAGGCTGCGAGGCACAGAGTGAGGCTCCCTCCTGGCTGGCGCGGGAGGCACGGTTGGCCACACTGCAGCTGGGAAGAAAGGGGAAGAGTTAACTCAACCTCCTTTCTCTCCTGGTGAAATGCTCCCATTTTCTTTTTTTAGGCAATAAAATGAAGTTTCTCCACAAGAAATAACCCTCAGCCTGGACTCGAAGGAAAAGTTCCTCCCAGAGCAACCACGTGTTTAAAGACAGTCCTGGTGGCCTTTCTGAAACGTCGTCCCCGGTCATCCCAGCTCTGCTGGGTCAAGGCCAGGGTGGATTCTGGCCGCTACTGGGTTGTCCCCAGGCCCTGGGGTCCCAGAGCTGCCCAGCAGGTGCTGCTGCTTCAGAACACCCCGGAAAGGGGACCTGAGACCAGGCCTGTCGCCGACATTCAGATGGATTGTTTTGGTTGCTGGTTTTGGGATTTTTAATTTTTTTAAATCTTAGATATTAAAAAAAAAGAAAAATGTTTGGGCTTTCTTTTTATTATGCCAGGGCTAAGAAAACTATCCTGCCCTGTGTCATCTTTCCCTGGCTCACCCTGCCTGGCATTCCTCCTCTAGGCCAAAATGGGGACAAATGCGGGTGTTAGGGAGATGCTGTAGTGACCCCTACAGACGCTGGACTCAGAGGTTCAGGGCAGAGCCCTCGGAGAAAGGATTGGCCCTTCTGTGGAGGAGTCGGATCTGGGCTCCAAGGATTTTGACTTCCCTGGAGAAGCTGCATCCAGAGTGGCCAGTGATGCCACCTGGTGGCCGAGGCCATTGCTGTTGGGCCTCCCAACTCCTCTCCCAAAGGGGCCTGACTTCTGGGCCGCCCGCCTCTTCTCTTTTCTCTTAGAAGCCTTAGCACTGTCCACTGCCCAAGCCGAGCCGTCCATGACTTTTGAGGTACACACAAAAAGAGGAAATCGTAAGATCTATTAATAAAACGTTCTTAGGGTCCCAAAGTTTATGATCATAAAGTATCATGGAGCACACCCTATAACACATAAAGCCACGGCTTTGACCCTACTCCCATTTATACTGTATGAAATAGTCCCATCTCATTGTAGGGACCCAGATCAGCAGAGACGAAATGGTGGGTGGATAAATGGAGGGACGTTTGTAAAGGAGAGCGAGCATCAAAGTTTGGAGACAGCTTCGTAAGACTTGTGAGGCCATCAAGGCAGCTTGCCCTCCTACAGAGGACCCAGCGGGGTGGGCAGCACAGGCAAGTTCTCAAAGCAGGCCTTGGCACCACCGCGGCCACCCGCCGCCCGCCCGCCACTGCGCACCCTCCAGTGCATCCCCTCTGGATGGCACCAGCAACCACGACTGAACACACAAAAGATGTGCTCTCATCATGGCAATGGCCCTGGCCTATGCTGCCTGGCGAGGCCCTTAGCCTTTAGGGCGCTGGGAGCAAGAGGCCTTCTGAGGAAAGAAAACAAGAAAAAAAAGGAGGAGGTTGACTTCTCATTCCACATTAAGGATTCTTACCTGGAGTCATGGACCATCTCTCCAAATTATATCCAAGATTTGGTGTGCCCATTCATTTTCCAGGGGAGAGGATGCATGGCTTATATCAGATTCATAAAAGGTTCCCAGGAGCCCCAAACTGATAGGAGCCAGGCTGTGCATAACAATTAACCTGGGTAGGTGTGTGCTCTGGGGTTTGGGGGGAAGACTGAATGAGAATCTCTGAGTGTGGGGGCTCAGGAATTGTACAAGCTCCTCAGATTAGTTAACTTTATTAATACCAATATTCTGCCCAGAGATGATCATTTTTAATATTTTGGAATATACTTTCTTTTCTAACTTATTTTATATTATATTGTTTACTTAACACCGCCAAGTGAATAAACATACCTTTTATCAATATTTCTAATGGCTGTATATTCTATTTTATAGATCCACTAAAAGTTATTTTACCAATCCTCTACTCGTATGCGTGCAGGCTATTTCCAGTTTTTAATATAAAGGGCATTGAAAAAAGCATCTTTGTACAAGTATCTCGGCACATTTGCTCTATTTTCGTTTTAATGTTTGCCTGGAGTAGATTATCCATCTAGAAAATGCCCAGGTCATGAGCATACAGGCTGACCTTCACAAATGACCACGTCTGTGTGACCAACGCCCAGGCCAGGAAGCCGACCATCACGGACCCCAGGAGCCCCTCCTGCCGCCTTCCCGACGTCCCTCCCATCTACTCTGCGGATGTTTAAACTAAACCAACTAACAAATGGTCTACAACTTGCTAAGTGGGAAGGTAGGCTGGGGAGGGTCAGAAGCAAGAGAAAGGGGTAGAGTTGTGATTCCTGCCCACAGTCTAGGGCAGATTCTCGATGGGTGATGCTGTGTGGGTTGAAGAGCAGAGCATGGGTGCCCTAGATCAGGTCACCATCTGTCCAAGAACCAAGACCTCCAATTCCATCAAAGCATACATTTTCCATGAAGAATGTGTTGTGTTTAGAAGCACTTGTTACTGTGCTTCAATTCACGGTGAAGCACAAGGTCATGAAAAATAGTTGGAGCAGGATTGCCGGGTGGGTTTCACTGATATGGAATATCGGAGACATGGGTGGACGAGGGAAGCGGTGGTGAGGGCAAGTACAGCTGGCAGATCTTGGTAGGAGGCCGCAGGTAGCGAGAGTGATGGGGAAGAGGAAGAATGAATTCTCAGAAATTAACACAAAAACTTCTTCCTATTCATAAGAATAATGGTATCAGCTGCCATTTATGGGCACTTTTTACCCATCACGGTGTTGAGTTCCTCACGTGTGTTATTTGAACACTGGAAGGTAAGCTGGAGGGACTGTGTCCATCAAGGTCCCTGCTGAGTTTCCAGAGCCTAAAGCCAGTGCCTGGCGCTTACCAAATGTTTGCTAACCAAAGAAACAGGTCCCACAGCAGGACTAAGAGTTACTCTCTCTGTCGCAGGCAGCAGGCTCATTAGACATGGATGCAGAGCCCACAAAGCCAAAGGCGTCAACCTTGCTGACTGAGAGCCGTTCCCAGCATCTCTGACACTTTGTCTCAGCACTAGGCACCTACCTAAGAGACCACAGTAACAATCAGAAGGTTGCTGGTGAGTGTGAAGTCAGAGCAAAGGGCACTGGAGAATCTGGAGGGGCATCCCAGAGGGGCGGGGAGCAGGACAGACTTCACTGTCCCCCAGAGGGCCTGTGTCTGGGTAGTGCTGGATAACCCGCTGACTTCTTGGTCCTTGGCATCCCTCCACCCCATTTCTTTATCTTTTTATTTTCTATGAGTGAAATTCACATAATTTTTTTAATTTATTGATTTGAGAGAGAGAAGTATCTATTCGTTGTTGCATTTATTTATTCATTCGTTGGTTAATTCCTGCATGTGCCCTGATGGAGGATTGAACCTGCAACCTTGGCATATCAGGACAACACTGAAACCAGCAGAGCTACCTGGCCACAGCTCACATAATTCTAAAGTGGACAATTCAGTGGCATTTAGTGCATTCACACTGTTGTGCAACCACTAAAAACACTGTCATCGCCCTAAAAAGAAAACTCATAGCCATCAACAGTTACGCTCATCCCTCCTCCCTCCAGCCCCTGGCAACCACCAATCTGCTTCTATCTCTATAGATATACCTATTTTGGGTATTTCATAATATGTCTGGCTTCTTTCACTCAGCATAGTGTTTCAAGGTTCATCCACACTGTAGATTGTATCAGTACTGCATTCCTTTTTATGGCTGAATGATATTCCATGGTATGGATTTATCATTTTTTTGTTTGTTTGTTTTTAAATATATTTTATTGATTATTTACAGAGAGAAACGGAGAGGGATAGAGAGTTAGAAACATTGATGAGAGAGAAACATCTATCAGCTGCCTCCTGCACACTCCCTACTGGGTATGTGCCCACAACCAAGGTACATGCCCTTGGCCGGAATCGAACCTGGGACCCTTGAGTCCACAGGCCGACACTATCCACTGAGCCAAACCGGTTAGGGCCATATTTTGTTTATCTCTTCATCCAGCAATGGGCATTCAGGTTGTTTCCACCTTTTGGCTATTGTGAATAGTGCTCCTACAAAATGTCTATGTGCGTATTTCTTTGAGTACCTGTTTTCAATTTCTTTGGGTATATACCTACGAGTGAAATTGCTGGGTCATATGGTAATTTCTACATTTAAATTTTGGATGGAGGAACTACAATACAATATACAGATGATGTATTCTAGAATTGCATGCCTGAAACCTATATAATTTTATTAACCAATGTCACCCCAATACAATAAAAAATAAATTTTAAAAAATAAAATAAAAATCACAAGTAGTAAACCTGGAGTTTTAGTAATTATTTTAAAAAAATACAAATTTGAAAAAAAATACAAATTTGAAGAACCATTGAGCTGTTTTCTATGGTACCAATTTATATTCCCACCCGCAACGTTGGAGGGACACCCCCTTTCTTCCTCAGCTATATCCATCACCTTCCAGCCACACCTCTCAGAGAGGCCCCCATGCTTCTCAGGGGTGATTGGCACCTCCTATATCGGATTTTCCTGGGATGCTAGTTTGAAAAGCAGATTCCAGGGTCTACCTTGACTTCTCTGGGGCTAAGACACTAGAGCCCTGGTTTGGCTGGAAGTTCCCTCAATGTCTCCAAACATGTGCAGGACCCTGTCTTTGGTGACTCCTTCCTCCCTTAGATGCAAATTCTCCCTTCAGGTGAATTGATAGAGAGTGATGTTAGGGCCAAATTTTATAAGCACACATGTCCTGAATTCAGCACTACCTAAATAAAAACATTAGTAAAATGGATATAAGCGTGCAAGGAGCCACAGAAAGGCCACACTCAGTTGTTTTTTTGTTTGTTTAAGGTCCCATTACTCTAGTAACTAGAGTCTAGTTAGTTGCCTTACATAGTACCAAAGTAGTTGGTTAGGCCCAAAAAAATCCTGAGGAGAGGTCGCTGTGGGGGTGAACTCAGAGGGCAAGACTGGCTGGCGGCTCAGCTCCGACTCCCATGCGAGTTGAGCGGAGTTCAGAGCAGCCTTGGGCTAAAGGGAGGGGTTGAAACAGGCAGAGGAGGAAGGGAAGCCTCTGGGCGGAGCCAAGGTTGGTAAGAAAAGCAAAAGGCAGGTGAGATGGGCCATTTAACTGCTGGCACCTGTCAAGGCCAATTAACTTCACTCCCTGGCTTGTCCAGGGACCACACCTTGTCCTCACCCAGCTCTTGGTGGGGTTCAGCTGCCAACCTCTAACTTCTTTTTGGCTACAATCCTAGAGGCCTGGCGCCAGCTTCCCCGGCACCAGGCCAGAGAGCTAACAGGTTCACCTTTGATCAGCCTTGGGCTCCTTCCCTGCCCCTTTTATACTCCTCTGCTGAGAGCCGCACCCCTCCCCAGCCCAACCATAATTCTAAGAGCACACAGTTAAATCCTGCCACCAAACCTCACAGCACGTGTCCTTTCCACAACAGAGCTAATTGCCTTACCCACATGGGCGGAATGTGGACTGGGTGGTTTTTCTGGCAGACAACTCCAGATTCACACAGACCCACCCTTCACTGTCTCACCAGGCCCCTGGGCAGGTGTGAAAGGGCTTCTCCAGTGGGGCTCCAGTGGTGGCAGGACGGGACAAGCCCCGAGGCAGGAGGCCAGGGCACCAGCTGGCAGGGCCTGGCCCGCAGACGGAGCCAGGAGCCCTGGTGCCCAGAGTTTAGCTTGGTTCTCTGGCAGAAGCTGCTTTTCTCCCCTCCCTGCCTTGGTTTTTATGGTCTCTGGGGAAGCAGGTTCTGGGCTGGAACAGAAAGGGCAAAGCAGCCCTGTGCCCAAGCCAGGGTCAGCCACTAGGGTGGCTCATGGAGTGAGGGGGGTCAGTGTCCCTCCCAGCAGCGTGGGGTCCAATGGCCCCACGCTCTTGGTTCTGGCACCAGGTGGCCCCTGAGGCTAGTAGAGCCCTGCTCTGTGAGGAGACCGGGCTGAGGAAGCAGAGTGAAGCCAAGAGCTGCCCCCTATCTCAAGATGGGAACGTTCACCCCTGGGGACAGATGGGGGAAGGCCCATGCTGCACCTTGCCAGACTGTCACCATCCTGCACTGTTTAGCCATGTCAAACTATTGCTCTCTTCCCCACCAAGAAGAAAGATGAAAGATAAAAAACAAAAAACAGTGCTGGTTGCACAAGAATGTGAATGTTCTTAATGCCACTGAACTGAACTGCATCCTTAAGAAATGGTTTAAGTGATACACCTTTTGTTATGTACCTGTTACCACATACACACCCCTCAGCAATAATGTTGCAATGCTTTTATATTCTAGTGCAATGATTTTAACACTGCACGTGTATCATTCACACATGTTTTAAGTTTTAACAGTTTAATATGACTTTATATTAAGTATTAAAAACTAAAGTGGTCTTTTAAATACTGTTGACATGTGGCTTTTTTTCAGAGTTTTCCCCCCCAATTATAGTTGATATTTAATATTATTTTATATTAGTTTCAGGTGTACAGCATAGTGTGAGACATTTATATAATTTACGACATGATTCACACATATATTTCTATAGGATAAACGCCAGCTTCTTCCATGCCACATGTATGGATCCTACAAGTACTTCCTACTAAGTCAACAAGCTACAGTTACAAGAGCATTAACTGGTCCAGAAATTTGTGAAGGAATTCTTTAATGCCCTTCCTCCGAGATTCAGAAACGACAAATGGAGGCTTAGGCCAGACAGGATTTTGCTAAAACCTGGTCTTCCCCCTCTCTCCTCTCCTTTCTCCCTCTCAGTCCAGGCAGGCCAGCCATCCCCCTCTTGTCCTCCCCCTGCCCCAGAGCTCCATCCTCCCTTCCCTCTGGGCTCCTGAGCTCACTTCCTCAGAGAATGTGGC